CTGCAACATAACAAAATTGAAAAAAGTGAAGGGGGTCTGAATACTTTCCGAATGCATTGTAGTTGAATGGAATATTTTGTTTACAAACCTAGATCCATTCACAAATTATGATTGTTTAGGGTTTGATAAGTCTGAGATAAATGTGGTTTAGAGCAGTGTCAGAATTCATAGGCAGTTGGTAAACAATTAGAGATATTGCTATGTTGGTGATGGGTGAGAACTTTTGACAGTGAATGTTGAGCATCCTGAGGCAAAAATAGTTTTGAGCTCTGGTTTGCACACTCTGTTTCTGCAAGTATAATTATTGATGTGATTCTTAATAGGGCTACTAAATTCAAAGGTGATTATGTGTAATCACTGAATTGAATTTGGTTTCCAAATGTATGTGATATTCGATTAGAATTTATGAATCTAATTGGACACCTTCAAATCAATTTGTTTCAGGCTAATTTGAATGCCTTTTATGCAAGCACAGTTGTGTTTTTAGCATCCCAAATTGACAATTCGGTTCAGATTGATCTGGACTATTACATTGGATTAGTTTTTTTTTTTATTCAAATGAGTGGTTTGAAGCAGATCAACTCATCCTGATTCACAGAGGCTTAATATTTAATATTAATTAAGAAAGAATGCCTGTGTTAGAGTCAAAGGACTGACAGATTTATATCATCATCTCTCAGTTCAAATTATTAATTTATAAATTTTGGAAATAATTGCAGTGGTAATTATGCCAAGACTATATATATCTAGTTAGGCTCTTCAACTGAAAAATGTTTCAGTTCATATTTATATCATTTTTCAAGTTATTCCTGGAAACATATTGGAAAGCAAAAAAAAATGGAACTTTCTTTTTTTTTTATTTTAGGACAATTTGAGTTAGTCACAATAGTTTTAACACCTGATTCCTAGAAAAGCCAGTCTCAACTTCTTTCATTGTTGGACATTACAGTTTGTATAGTGGCTTAAGGTTACACACAATGCATTTCATTTGATTGATTAATGGATTTTTTTATTTTGGATTTCCTTTTATGCCATCAGATTGTTATTGAGGTATGTAGGACTCAATGTTGTTTTTATCTTCACTAGTTTTGAATTTATATTTTTGTGCAAGTGTGTTTGTGGTCTTTTTTGGTCCATGTTCACATTCCCTCATTCATCTTTGTCTCACAGTGATATGGTAAAGCTCGTTGAAGTTTCCAATGATGGTGGACCTTTGGGGATCCACGTAGTTCCTTTCAGTGCTCGAGGCGGAAGGTAATGTACTGTGTAGGTTTTTAACTGATTCATTGCCTTAGATATGTTAGTTTCTGCTTTTATCTGATTTATTGATTGACCGACTCCTCAATTCCAGAACAACTCTTTATAAGAATAGTGTGTCTATTTGAAATAGAAACATGATTCTTTCAGCAGAAAATCTTACTGACTCTAATCCATAAGGAACCTTTTCTGAATGTAACTCAGCTGGTCAAGATGAGAATGACAAAACCTAGTTCTAATTTATTAAAAAAAGTTATATTCTGTCCTAATACGAAGCTGAATTGCAAAAACATAAATTATTTCTGTCATAGCCACATAAAAAGTTTCTTCTGTTTTACCTTGATCCGATATTAGAAATGGATTTCATGCAGCATTTCTCCCTAGTTGCAAGTCTATAATTTACAAACTAGTAGCATCTGAATTCACGACACCATTCTGTGTGTAGTTTTTCACTCAAACGTGAAAGAAAATTTACAGTCAAGGTAGTGTTAAATAAAGTTAGTTATATGAAATATAGCACAGCTTTTTGATTTGTTGCTGAACATGAGGGTATTATATTGCACTACACACAAAAAAGCAGGGAAAGAACCAGGTGATGGGGTAAAATGAATATACTACCAATAATGGCCATATGCCATATTCTATCAGGGAACTGAATTAAAATATCAACGCTTACTTTATTGAGATAGAACTCTGGTTTTAGGTTCTGTGATTAAATGTACTTGGAAAATTAAATGAGCTATGACACGAGTATGATTCTGTGCCAAGATTTAAAATTTGGTGGTATAAAACCAAGTCTGGCACTTCCTCAGAAACTTAAGTAGGACTTGAGGGGAAGTAGAAGAGAAATAGATTACCTTTAGCAGAGAAGAAAATTCCATTTACATTTTACATCATCCTGGTGGGAAACGTCCAAATATGCATTTATAAATAGAATCTTGGATTATAAGCTGATGTGATGCTATGTTTTGACTAATTCACATTACCGTCAAGAATTTCATTTTAAGTTAAAAGCCAGTGTCACTGAACAGCAAATATATTTTATCTGCTTTTTAAAATTTTTGATAAATAGGAGGGTTTTCCTTCCATAGAATGATTTGATTGTGATATAAAAATAGTCCATTCTGGATATTCATTTAAACATAGTACTCGAGTAGATACAATGACATGAAATCCTCTGAACAAAGTTGATAATTTTCTTAAAGTAGCTTTCTGTGAAGAACTGGGAGGGAACATCTAATGCAGCTGTACTTTTGAATGGTTTTTCTTCAGATCGGTATTCCATGTACAAGTTATAGTTTCCATAATGTTGAAATACTATGATCATTTTAGGGCTTGGCTAAAATGCTGAATTTTCTCATTTACTTGTGAGTAATTCAGAAACAGAAAGGGACAGCTGCATTTTATGTCTTTAGATTAACATGAAGTTTAGCAATAAAAAGATCCAGTATATCCTATATCCAATTTTTCCTAAGATTGGGATAGTTTATTTCTATGATTGAAATATGCACATTTTCTAAAATGACCTTTTTACAACAAATTTAAGATACTATTTGGTCACATATCTTTCTTTCAGTCATGGATCCTGGGTATATTATCCTGTGATAGAATATGAGTTTTAAGGTTTGTTACACAGCTCAGCTTGATTCTTATAGTGAATAGCCTATACAGTCTCTGCAATGTTTGCTGTGTTATCATCAATGGAGCTCTATGTTTTGATCATCATGCTACTATAAAGGCTACATAAATCAGGTTGTGATATTGTAGAAAGGGAAAAAACTGATCTTCTCTGGAAAGGACTTATAATTTCCTTATAGAGCAGACATCCTGATTCAGTTAAACATACATCAGGACACTTTATTGACATTAGCATTGAAATAAAAAAGTATTTTGCAAGATTTTTTTTAACCCCATTCAAAATATGCTACAGTAACAGTAAAGCTTTGTAGGGTGGGAGGTTAGGAATGAGAGAGAAGCTTTGTGTGTTATCCTTGCTCTGTACATTTATTATTGGGACTATCCCAATTCTCTGTTGTCACAGTCAGACCAGTGTTAAAGGATAATGTACTTTATTCATTGTTCATATCTTTGTCTTAGATATTAGGAAATGAAAAAAGGATACTAAATGCATAGTTTTTTGGGAATAATCAATATTGCCTTATCAGTAGATGTCATTTTGAATATTACAGTGCTAATCTGGGATGTTCCATGACTTTTTGGAAGTGAAATTCTACTTATCGTTCTTACTATTCTACTGGGTTTGTTAAATATGGATAATGGGATCAGTAAACGAGCAATCAGTTTTAGCAGATACAGTACTGGCTGCCCTTGTCTGAGCTTGCAGGCTAAGTAGGGTTGGGCCTGGTTAGTACTTAGATGAAACACATTCTGGGAATATCAGGGTTTAGGTTAGATTGGGAAGTTTTGCAAATCGCTTCTATATTGTTACCAAGAAAACATCATGGATTTGTCTGTATAGTCATTGGAGGCTGAGTTCAACATGAGAGAAGCTTTACATTTAGGATGTATTTCTTTGGAATATTGCTCCTTCTTGGCTCTCTTGCTATAATCTTATATCTGTTTATTCTTTCTACTAGTTATATTACAAAGTACCTGATCTTATTTTATACTCTCGTTGGCCAATATCATGCTTTTTTTTCCAAGCTGCCATGACATAAGCATATACTTGTCACCTTAGTTGGAAATAATGGACATTTATCTACATAAAAGGGAAATAGCAACTCAGTAACTTGTACCACGATTTGGCCATTGGGCCATCAAAAATTGAATAGCAGAAAAATGTCAACTGCAAAATAACAAAAAGGAGATGGAGAACCTTAAGTGAAAAGTTGGCTTCATGGATTCCTCAACTTAAAATCATTCCAATTAGAAAAAAAATGTAGATAGAAAAACATGTACACTTAGACAAAATTTGTATGCCATGTCCAGCTTGTCAATCTTGGGTGGCCAGGTCCAGCTGAAATCAATCCTGAAGATTCCACTCACTCCTAAAAATATTTTCATGTGATACATTTGTATGAATTTATGTGTGTGTGTGTGTGTGTTTCTTTATACTTGCTAGAAACCACAGTCCCAAAAAACTAGAGCCAGGACACACACACACACACACACACACACACACAAAATAATAAAGTACTACTATTTAAAATTAATTGTCTGTAAAATAAGGTACCCCATTTATAATATTGATTCACCTGTATATACCCACCATTCTATCTCACACATAGAAACCACTTTTTCACCATACAAAGCAAACAACAACAGCAACAGCAAAGAAGGAGGATGGAGATGGGTTAAAAAAAAATGAGAAAAGGTAGGTAGATTGAGAAGAAAGAGAAAAAGGTAGCATAACAGTACAGAGGGGGTTAAACTGACCAGACCAGAAAATGTTCATCTTCAGACTAATCTTCAAAGTCATCTTCCAGTTTTGCAGCCCTTTGCACCTCCACCCTTTTGCTTGCTTTCCAATGTAAGGACTTTCCCCCCATTCATAGCTTCTTATTTTGGGAGAGGTAAGTTGTTTTTTCCCCTTTTGGTTAATATAGTAATATTAGTAACCAGCATATTGGCTATACATGAAGGTTGATTTCATAGAAGGTGATTTCATTGGCTCCTCTGAATGATTCATATTCTTTCTTCAAGTAGGCAGCTGCTAATCCTAAACTTTTAAACCAAGACATACTGGTTGTTGCTACTTGTCATAATCTGATGTTCACAGAATAAAGGAACATTTTTTAAATCTTTCATTTGTCCCTCCCAAAACACTACCTTAACATTTCTATCTTCTCAAGTCATGCTTTGCTTTGTCTCCTCCCTTTGTTTTTAGCTTATTGATGTGGGTAGCCTCTTTGAAGAGGGATACCACAGATAAGGGGAAATGTTTTGCTCTATCGCTCCCTGTCAGTTTGTTAGATACTAAAACAGGTGGAAAATAGGGAAGCTTGGAAAAAAAATCTTAAAGGTCCATTAATAAATTCAGTGGCACACAGTCTATTTGGGGTTTTCATGACTGAACAGGGAAAACAGCACACAAGTGAACCAATTCAAAATGTTCTTTATTTGTAACACTTGCAACGATAGAAAAACTTCAGTTTTTCTGAGAGTTTGACTTTAATAGTTCTGTAAATGGCACACAGCTAATGCAGATTAAACAAACAGATCTTCCCCCTCCCTTATGGCAACTTGCCATAAAAAGTCTGGAATACAGTAAAAGCAGTGCTGTAAATCTCTTTATGACTCTCTGCCATTCAGAGATTAATTAATTCTCTGTCTATAAAGTGATGCTTTTGCTGAAGTCAATGTGTCTAAACTATTTTTCTTTGCATGTTGTTGTTATTGTCCATTGAGACAACCCGTACTCCTGGTGACAGGGACAGGTTCCTTCAGTTTTCTTGCCAACATGTTTGGAAATGGCTTTGCCGGTACCTTTGTCTTAGATTTGACAGACAGCAATTGGCTCAAAGTCACTTAACTGGCTTTTGTGCCTAAGGCAGGACTATAATTCCCAGCTTCCCAGCTTCACTTCAAAGTGCTGCACAATCCTACTGTTTAGATTTGTATGTGCAGGACAATTCAACTATTAACAGCCCTATCTGGGGATACTGTAAACTTGTATATAGAGGCAGGCCCTCAGAAATGAAATATTTCTAAACTGTCACAACCAAACACAACACTGTATTGGTCAATTCAGTGGAATAAAAGTGGCCAAAGGAACAGGCTGAAATTGCATGCAAATCTTTTTTTAATGGCTTCCAAAGCAATGAGCTTGTGTAACATTTAGAGCAAATTGTATTGTAGATTTGTGGATATAAGCTTAAGTTTTAGAAGATATTAAAGATAAATGAAAATCTTGTGGTAGTTAAGGCAGTGACATATGGAAAAAGTAGCTGCAAATACCGAGTTTATACATCCTGTACAGTCAGATATTCACAAGCAATTTGTGTTGCATGAGAATGTGGAAGAAGATAAGTTGCATG